AAATTAACTCACCGAGTCCAGCTCTCACAGACCCCACACCCTGCAATATATTTGCTGAAGGATCAAATAGGATTGGGGACCTGGCGTAATATGGTCAACTGGTCTTCATCCAGGCATGCATCATTCAGTAGGTTAGTATTAAGGGTCAGCAACTGTGAATATGGCTAATTACTTGATGACAGAAATTGCAGGTGAAGACAACCTGCTGCTGAGAAGCGCTTTAGTCAATTAACTCTTTCCTAAGCTTAAGCAAAGTGAAAAACTATCATTTGAACATTAAAACTAACAAGTACCTGTCATCAGAGCTGAGAAAAGTTGGCAACACCTTGAAATACAGCGCCGAAGGGCAACTGTATCAACAGCTAAAAAGCTGCTACAGACATTTGAGTCACTGTTTTATGGTTTTGGCATTGCTTTGCTTGGCAAACATTAGGTACATTGGAAATCTGTTAATATTATGCATAATCTATGTTTGTAAATGCTGTGTGTACAAACATAAGGCTATGTGTGCATATGTAGGTATGTATGTATGTATATATATTCACTATATATCTGTCCTGGATACAAATATATTATATTAATGTATATTAATGAATTAACAAAAATAATTAGGCATGTGCTTGAATACATATATACACACACATATATATACACCTCCCATACACACGCACATAATTATATTAGAATAATGGTATTTAGTCAACTCTTTGAAGTCAGAAAATGCCAGAACTATAGCTGCTCATGTCTGGCTCTCCTGCTTATCTATCCCATAACCTCTCTGGAAACCTGAGGAATCGCTTAGCCCGTGTGATGGCCCAACACAGCTGGTGAGCTGCTGCAGCCGCATGCTCAGACCAAAAGGTAGGGCCAGAATTGTCCACACCACTGCTGTCAAACACCACTACTACTGCCCTGACACCTCCTGTAAGCGTATTTCTGCTGTTTGGAGTGGCGTGGTAGCAAATCTCCATAGCAAGCAATGGAAAGGAAACAGTGACTTTTAAGCTCATGATTCACCCCAAATTGAGTGAAATACAACAAGAAAGTAAAAGATATACCTGTAGCTTTGTGGATTTTTTTTCCTCCTTTGACCATGGACAACATAAATTACAAGAATATTCCAAACAGCTGCTCACTAAACTAAAGTCTAAACTATAGGTGATAAAGCTTTCACATAGATTCTTTAACAGTATTATAAAAACACCACGTTATTTTCCTAAATGAAGGCTAATTATTTTATCACATTATTTTGTGCCTTTTATTATGATTTCTTTATTCTAGTAATGAAAAGATTCATAATTTGCAGCACTTACCCAAAGCAATTGCTCCCTTTTCTGCAAACCTTATGTCAGAGGCAATTAAAAAGCTGTGGAAGCCGAAACAAAACATCCTCTTAACTGTATTAACTAGAGTTCTCCTTCAGTTTGACAAAGTAACGGTCCTGGGTGGCTGTAGTTAGAAATTTTTAAAAATCTGACTCCCAAAGTCATAATGCTTATGCTCTTGCACTACTGCTAACAGTTACCCTGGCGCTTGCACACAGCGTTTTACTGCTAGTCCTACCTACAGAACTCTCTTCACTCTGTTGCAATGGGTGTTGAAGAACAAGATTGAGAGATTCCAGCTGAAAAGTGCTGGTGTACAGTAATGCAGGATTCAAAGCATGTCCCTACATCAGTGTCAGCCAAGAAACATATTAAAAATCGGGAAAAAAAGACAAGATTTTGGAGCTGTTTTTGTTCTACAGTGTTCAGGATGGACCCCCATTTCATTAATGAGAAAAATGGAAACTACTATATTAAGACTGTTTTTGGAACAGAATGACATCCATAGATGTCAGAAAGAGGACAGCAAAGAGCGAGAAAAAAATCAGAATATTCCAGTTACCCTGGCGCTTGCACACAGCGTTTTACTGCTAGTCCTACCTACAGAACTCTCTTCACTCTGTTGCAATGGGTGTTGAAGAACAAGATTGAGAGATTCCAGCTGAAAAGTGCTGGTGTACAGTAATGCAGGATTCAAAGCATGTCCCTACATCAGTGTCAGCCAAGAAACATATTAAAAATCGGGAAAAAAAGACAAGATTTTGGAGCTGTTTTTGTTCTACAGTGTTCAGGATGGACCCCCATTTCATTAATGAGAAAAATGGAAACTACTATATTAAGACTGTTTTTGGAACAGAATGACATTCATAGATGTCAGAAAGAGGACAGCAAAGAGCGAGAAAAAAAATCAGAATATTCAGGATTTTTTGGCTTATATGAGGAAAGTATTTATATCTGTTTGAATTTATTCATGCCATGCTACAGTACTGAAAACCTGTCTTTTACTACTGACATTGAGGTGTCCCTATTGATTGCTGTAAAGTGGGCCTGATTCCTCTGCCTTCTCACCCTGGCTTTTCCACTAATGCAACTGTAACAGCACAAATAAGTCGCTCTTGGGCTACACCAGCATGCAAAAAGCGGTTCCTTCTGTTGTTGCCGTTGTCTTCTCACCATTCAAATAAAAAGCTATGCGCAACTGTATTCATAGGGATACAGAACAGAATAGGCTCCAAGACCACTGTCGTCGTGTCACATAACAAAGGGAAGTAATTAAACAGAGGTACTGAGTATTTATTTATGGGAATGCCCACAGTGCATTGGCACTTTCCAAAGGGAGAAGGAAGCATCATGCCCCCTCTGAAGAAATCACAGTCTAAGGAGCAGGATGTGACACTAAACACAACCGAGAAATTATTCTAATTCGAGCCAGCATGCCTTGTTTACCCCTTACTATTTTTTGACCTCACTGTTAATATGACAGTTTCTTTGTTGTTGTTAATAGAAAGCAAAAAATGAAGGCTTAAAACCCTATCGTACTGCACAATCGGTGACTAGGTTCATTGAGAATAGCTATAAAGCCTTAAACAAGCCCTTTATTTTGTGTTTTAAGCAGTGTCATAAGGAGTTAATAGGACACAGCTGTACAGGCTCTTTCTAATAAGCAGCTTCTGTCGCTTTGGTCACCACAGGTGTCTCTGTAACCTGCAAACTCCTATTACTAGTGTATCAAAGTTGTGCTACTTAATAGATTTCTTTAGTAAAACACAACAAAGCAATTACATGGCTGTTGATCGTCAGTCATAAAAAAACCCCTCAAACACAGTTTTTCAAAAGAAACTACACTGCAATTTTTTGTCATTGTAAAATAAAAGAAACTAGAGAATTAAATAGAAAAGTGAACAATAGAACAGCAGGTAGTCAACTGAACTTAGCCACTACAGATGGTTTAGAAATAGTGTTTCCTTCTACCAACTTGTGGGATAAAAGAAAAGGAGGAGGCTCCTTACTGCCCATGAATGGCAATACCAAAAGACTTAAGCAACTTTCCAGTCTATGTATTTGGTCCCATGAAAGAACCTAGATGTTTCTCTTTCCCCCTCCCTCTTTTTTCTAAAATCTTTTTATCTGTTTTTGCAACTGCTTTTTTCCATAATCTTTAACTCTTCCCTAGAATAATTTAAACTAGGAACGTAGCTGCTGATCCATCCAAAGACGAAATGCAGAAGGTCGAATGAGGAATTCCTGTGAAACACAAGTGTCGTTTTAAAAGTGCAGTAAAAAAAAAGAGATTGTTCTGTTCTCCACGCCCACTTTCAGTAAAGAAATATTAACTATAATTTACGTATTTAAGAACAGGAATGTATGAATGCTTTATAAAGATACCAAATTTCTAGCAATCCAAACGGGAAAGAAACATAAATATGTACTTCTGATTGTTCAATAACCAATGGAATTGTGTAAAAAAAGCAGCAACCTTATCCCAGACTAAATTACTGTTGCATCTTTTGTTCAAAAGTTGGAATAACACTCATTATATTAATATACTCAAGACATTATCCTGACAAGCAGTCGCTTTTTTTTTATTTAAAAAAAACAAGTTGGAATAACACTCATTATATTAATATACTCAAGACATTATCCTGACAAGCAGACGCTTTTATTATATTAAAACCTATCAAAATATCTGAACATTACCAAAGGAGTGTTCTGTAAGAAACTTGTAGTTCAAAAAAGTTCATATGAATTGCAAGCTTCTATTTTTTTGCATAATCTGTTTTTAATATAAATTTATCACATGAATGTTATTGTTTTAATAAGATTTTCATTTAACAACAGTAGTTGTTATCCCAGACGTTTCTAATGCAGTTTCACCTACATACATAGAATTCGTGTCACATAATATCATGGCACTGCAGGGCAAAACCGTGAAGACACGTTCCTAGAACTATGTTTGCAAAATAAACTTAAAAAAAAAAAAAAAAAAAAAGAAGAAGTAGTAATTTTTTTAAATTTGGAATGAAAACAAGGAGGGTCCAATTCCCAGTGAGCGTCAGCCAGGACAGCTTCATTGATCAGCTAAGAACGAGCATGAAGTTTTTAGTTCAAATAAATATCAAGCAACAAAAGATTTGATACACAGAGATGACACAGAGATAAGGGTCTTTTCCTTGAGAAAAGCTGCTCCACTCACAGTCCAAAGAGTCTTACCTTGCTCTGGCTTCTTTTGTCATGTCCCATGCCCAGGTTGTTAAGTTCTGACTCAGATAGGAGACAATAGATTCAGCACAGAGCATTTGTGAGCAGAAGACATTGGTTAGTACACTTTCATCATGGTGGAGGTAGATAGCAAGAAGCTTTCTCTGAAAAGACATGAGAAAAGATCAGTGAAAACTTCCTCAGACTGGTTAGTAATTTGAAATTACTGCTGCAGTAATTTCTTTAACTATTTTGTTCAACACAGGAATAAGAAGTCACTTTGGAATGAAAACAAGGAGGGTCCAATTCCCAGTGAGCGTCAGCCAGGACAGCTTCATTGATCAGCTAAGAACGAGCATGAAGTTTTTAGTTCAAATAAATATCAAGCAACAAAAGATTTGATACACAGAGATGACACAGAGATAAGGGTCTTCCTTGAGAGAAAAGCTGCTCCACTCACAGTCCAAAGAGTCTTACCTTGCTCTGTTTGCTTCTTTTGTCATGTCCCATGCCCAGGTTATGAAGTTCTGACTCAGATAGGAGACAATAGATTCAGCACAGAGCATTTGTGAGCAGAAGACATTGGTTAGTACACTTTCATCATGGTGGAGGTAGATAGCAAGAAGCTTTCTCTGAAAAGACATGAGAAAAGATCAGTGAAAACTTCCTCAGACTGGTTAGTAATTTGAAATTACTGCTGCAGATTTGTGTGTTAGTATGCCCTACGGTGTTTATCAAGGGTGCTGAGTATCACAACGTGCACACACAGGGAAAAAAAACCCAGTAGATTTCAGGTCAAATGGTCCATCCCTCCAAATCTGTAAATATTCTCAATGCTTCCTAATATTTTATTTCGGGTACCAAAACACAATATATTATATGCTTAGAGCATGAAAGTAAGAACATTTGAATGAAAACCAAAAACCTTACTAACAGACTTAGCTTAACAAATGAGTGAACTTTTTTGGCTTGCTGCCCAATAAAGATAACATTTGGAACAATTCCCTGAGCAAGGAACACACCTCTTGGTACAACAGCATCTACGATACAAAACAACTATAAACAACCTGAAAAAATGACAGTGTACTGTTATCACCCCACCTGTAGCCAAATAAAGAGGAAAATTAGTAAGTAACAGTTCAGCTGCCTACAGTCCCAAAGCCTGCGACGTTACATGCTGGATGTTTTGGCAGCTCTCCATCCAGCCGTATGATGTGGGGAGGCCCACAGCACATCAGCCTCTCACCTGCTTCGTAAGTTGATGATGTGGCCTGTCAAAAGGCCATGTGTCAGCCCAGCTGGCTACATCTCTCATGGAGCTGAGGAACAAGGTAGCCGCCCCAGCACTGCGAATGTGTAAGACGCAAGGGAAGCGGTATGGGAGACATGGATCAAATCCCACATTGAGTTTGTGAGCGCTGATGTATCTCATCGTAGTTACAACGTTAGCGAAGACTAGATGTTGAGGATGGTGTTCGTGGCCTCTTGAAACAAAATATTCTGTGCCATGTTTGTCTGAAACCCTATCAAGTAATATTTGAGCTTCACTGCCAGCAGCATAGAGCTGTGCTGCGTCCCCATGACACTCTCAGACCACCTTTTGGAAAGTGAGTCTATGTGTACATAAAGATAGAAAGCAGACTGAGAAAAACATAGGGAAACTATGAGCTAGTTAAGGACCATGATCCTGTACCTGGTATTCAATGAATTATAAATACCATTCAGAAAATTACAACTTTCCATTCCCCCATACCCATATATATTACTTCCTTTATTTTAAAATCCTACTTGAACATATTTGCTGAGACAATATGGTAAATGCTATTTTCAGACTTTTATTTAAAGTAATTTCAAATCTCTTCATCAGAAGGAACACTGAACACTAGATACTGATGTGTATTGATATAGCAAGACACGGGATGCAAATTTGAGACAAGCTGTCTTTGTAAAAGACCTGTATGGCTATCACCTCATATGCTGGCTTTGGACAAAACTTAATGACTGTTTATGAAAAGAAGAATACATTTGAACATTAGACTTTGGGAAAGGGATTAGTAATTTGCATTAATGTTTGTCTAATTTAATTTAAATGTTCTTCAGAACCACGTACACATGTGCCAGGAAGGGCCATTAATAAGCCCAACATGCAGAGATCCATATAAGTGCAGCCAACAATGTTGACTGAAACTAAACTTGAAAATCCAGGGCACTGATGCACAATATCAAGCAATAAAACAGCATTTCTGTGGTGATATTTAATTTAAAAAGAAGAAAGAAGCAGGGGAAGATCAGGCACTGTCTGTTTTTGAGGATCAGCCATTCTGCATTTCAAAGCGTCGATCCCTGCAATATCCAGGTTACTGTGCTAGAATCTCGACTATTATATAGCAGTTGTAAGAGAGGGAGGGCAAAGATGTGTTTACTCAGTGATTAGGGCCTTAGAATAAGCCTCTAGCTCCTAGAGAGACAGCTCACCACTTATTCATTTGGACCAATTCACAAAGCCTAGAAAGATTAAACATCCATGCTGAGAAGACAAGCGAATGCAGACGGTGAAAAAGAAATAAAAATTCTTTAAAAACTCTGAGATGACTTCATTATTTTTTCCACAAGGAAACTTTAGGAAAGTGTTTAGTTAGAGAAAAACCCACATTGACCTCTCTCTAAACCCTTAATCTTTCCTTTGTGGTGGCACTGCTTTGTGGTAAGCGGATGGCTTTGCTCTCCTCTTTTCACTAGGAGCAGACAGAAAAAAAGGCTCTTGAGAAACACTTTTACTTCCAAAGAAACAACCCCATGAAACTGTTAAATATGACATTCCATACAACAGAATGTTTCAAAATATGTACAGTTTTAGGCTTAAAGATTTAGGGACAAATTTTAGTAAACAGAACAGGCGCATACACAATAGATGTTTACACTGAGCTACTTTACAAGTGAATGTAATTTTTGTTGCATCAACAAATCTCACCATGCAAAGACTAAACTCCATCACATATAAAAGACTGAACTTGTGTCTGATAATTCATCCAAAATGTTAAGGTCAGGCATAGGCACACTGCTAGGACAAATGAAAAGAGGTAGCAGGGGGAACTGAAGTGCTGAAACATGATTTTGAAAAGTCTTAGTGGAAGCCAGGGATATTTTTTACTTGGAAAAAATGCATTATTGCAAAAGGCTCATGGCTTGGAGTTTGTTGTTGTTGCTGTTGTTGTGTGGTTTTGGTGGGTTTTGGGGTTTTTTTTGGTTTTTTTTTTTTTACTAACCCATGGTAGTATATATTTATAAGCAGGTTTTTGTTGTTTTTATTTCAAGCCTTTGAAAAAATCAGAGTAAATTCTAGGATTCTATGATGACTAATACTGGGAATTTTTTAGTCAATACTAATAAAATAGGCTTACTAAACTGTTGAACAATCTTGACTTCCATAAAAGAAGACTACTAATGGAGCACTAGTCTGTTCTGTGTTGGATTTCTCAAAAATATAATGACTCGGGGGTTATATACTTAGCATAAAATTTTAACCAAGAAAAAAAATCTGATGGGGAAGAACTTTTACTAGTCCCTATGAAGGTATGGGATACTGAAAAGGTTCTAAGTACTGACTAGCTGATGGACTTCCAAAGGCCTTAGGACTTCAGGAACTTAAGCCATCAAGAGATGTATTTTTCAGAGTATGTGGATGTTGAAGACCAGGCAGTCATACACTGGAATTTTCAGAAGGGGCCTGGATTTACAAACAAACTCGGGAGTGCAACTCTCATCAATGTCAATAAGTCTTAAGGTCCTAAAAGCTTGAACTCTAAGCTCCAGGTTTCATTTTATTTCAGAGGAAAAAGAGCCATGAGAAAGAGGTGCTAACTGTTTTCAGCATCTTGGCTGTCTAAATACCTAAAAAATCCAGACCTCAAGCATTTTTTTCTGCAACCTCTGTTGCATTCAGACTGCATGAGACTCAGCTGTCCCTCTGCTGTCTTGCCTCACACCCACCACTATGTATTTGCAGTGAAGTGCTGCAGCCCTCTCCTGCCTGATTTTGATCTGTTGATGGAATATGCGTGGCACCCTGGAAGGAAACGCGGGCTGTAGATGGACGCTGTACTGCAGCAGGGCAGCCCCCTGGGAGGCACAGTCCTCCCAGCTGTAGCCTTGCACTATGAAACCTCTCTGCCGCATCATCCAAAGTATGCCACATAACTGATGCACCTGACCAAGAGATCTAACATGCATGTACAATCCTACACGAGACAAACACATTAAAGATTTGTCCTATGTACCAAAATGGCTATGCCATCCACTTGGCCATTTTTGCATTTTGGAACTTCAGAAAAGTTAATGCACTTTGTACAGAATTAGAAGAAATGAAGGAAAAGTTGGCACTGAGGCAGAAAGAAACACAGATCTTCATGAGGTTAAGAGACTAAATTGATAATCACTGAGTAATGGGATATCCAAGCTTCTCAGCCAGTTCCTAATAACATGAATAACTTGGATACCTCAGAAGAATATGAACTAGAATGAGAATAGCCATACAGTCATAAGGGTCAGCAAAAACACAGACCTGAATGGTTATTTTTGAATCTCAGGTTCACAAGTTCAAGTAATAATTGAGACAAAAATGTTCACTATGTAACATCTGCTAGAGGCATGAATGTTCTTTCAAGCTGATAGACTAATGAATCAAGATCTTCATTTTTTCTCCAGGTTTTATGTAGTGAGAGCTAATTTAAATGAACAAAGGGACACATTTGTACATCTTTAAGCCTTTGAAGTGTACAATTTGATCCACCTCTCTAAGGTGATCTTGGAGATCATATGACCAGCCTTCTTGGACACAGCTACTCTATCATGCACAATCTTTTTTCCCTAAGCAGAATGCAACCTTCTCTAACCCCAAGGCGATCTGAACTAAGCTGTACCCCACAGGTCCCTAAAGTGAGAGTGAGATGATTCCTGTAATTTTCTGATCTGGTCTTTTGTATTATACATGGCATAAGACATCCCTAAACTAATTCCTAATTTAATCTTTCAGTAATATTATCTTTCAGTAAAACATCTAGTCTCAAAAAACCATCAGTGACGGAGAATCCATATGAACCACGGTAAGCTGTTCAAACGGCTAACCACTTTCCGAGGTAAAGCTGTGTTTTATTTTAAGCTTGATTTAGTCTACTTTCATCTTCCAAATATTTGATCCTATTACACTGTTGTATCTCTGTTTCAATCAATTGAACTTGTAGTGGTATCTTACATAATGCAAAGAATATCCAATAATTAAAACCAAACTCAAGTAAGATCTACAAATCATAGGCTTTGAAAGAGGAGGAAATGTAATGTGGCAGACAATTTCAATAAACTTTCATTATTTAATATTAAGTACAGAGAACGCTAAAGAGATACCCATACCCAAGGACTAATCTTTCAGATATGAAAGATGAAGCAGAATAAAGGGCGTGTAAGCACACAGTGAAACTACTAAGCTGGTATCTTGTAGCAAAAATTTCTAAACAATAATTATCCACAAGTTCAGAATTAATTTAAGAATGAAAGGACAGAACTGCTAACACACACATCAGGCAAGACTGGAAAAAAAATGTAGGTGACTTACACGGGACTTAACTGGAATTTATATACCGACATCTACCATAGTGTAGCTGCTTTACTTTTCCCGGGAACCTAGAGTTATACTTCTATACCCATCCTCTATAGTTTCAGCCAGACCACGTAGATTAGTGTTCAGGTTATTTATGTTTAATTAGAATCTGTAAAGTAGTAATTTCTCCATCTAGGACCCTCAGACAGCTCAACTACAGATGCATTTTCAAAGCACACCTAGGATACACAATATGATCAAGCCCCTTATAAAATATAGGAGTAGCAATTGGACTTGATTTGAAATGTGCCTGGAGTCAAACTAAAAGGTGGTGGTGGAGCTGTACTCTTTGACATCACTCCGCAGTATTTAGGGAATAAATGGGGAAAAAAAGATGACAAAGACTAACCCAAAAAGCCATCCTGCAATTGGGATTCAGAACAACCTCTCTCCTCTACTCAAGACAACATCTAAAAGACAGATTTCAAATTTCTCTTCTGAGACAAGAAGACTGGAGAGTAGTCAATACTGTTTCTATAATGTGCTCTAACAGAAATCAGAATAATTATCTCTGTGAATCTTTTTTTCCGTATTAAGTTCAGCATGAACTTAATTAGCTGAAATAATAACATGGGACAGTTTTCTGAGTTACCAGATAAAAATGATACTGCAGAAAGCCCTGTATGAAGGAATATTCTGCTACCACCAGGAAAAAAAAAAGCTTTTATTTGAACATGCCACATCATAGAAGGAGCATACTTTCTTCTAGGTATTCAGGAAATAAAGTACCCATACGTGAGAGGGATGGTGCTGCCACTAAATTGAACCTAAAAGACAGAATTCAAGGAGAAGAAAAACATGGTTCATTTTCAGTATGCAGGACTATATATTGAGGTGACAATACCAATCTGTGCTAAGAGAGATGTTTCACATATTTATTAAAAGTCAGTGGACAGAAAGGTTGAGAGAGGAGCAGGAGGTGATCTGACAGAGGTATATAAAGATAAGAGCTCCTGAAAAGGTAAAGCAGATGTCTTTATTCTTTCTTATAATAAAACAGTAGCAACCACCTATAAAAATGAAAAGGCAAACAAGCTCCAATAAAAGAAAATACTTTAGTATTATTCAAGTAAATAGCTCAGTGAGATTCAATATAGCGATTAAGATCCTGTATTAATAACAATACTGCCCTAAGTTAGGATAAAGCCCCTGACGTTTCAGAACACAAGGCACCCACAAACTGCTTCCAGTCGCGAAGAAACCTCCCCCAAACATCTTGTTTAAAACTGTCCATTATAAGATTTCTTCCATGGCATCAGGTCTACCTAATTCTATGACAGTGTAGCTACTTAAGCAAGAGTAAGCTTGTTCTTCATAAACTAATGTAACAGAGAAATGCTTCTTTCCAGTTGGCACAATAAGTAGAGGAAGACTTTCACAAAAGAACAACTTATTTGTTAATTTAATGAACTTCTGTCTCTCTTTTCCTGACCCAATTAAAAAAAAAAAAAGAAAATATTTTCTTGTGTTATGTATACAATAAAACTTGGAAATGAACACACAATGCCCTTAACTATCAGGCTGCAGGAGGTAACTGGGGATTTCACTGCCAAGGACACTGGTTGTTAAAAGCAAAGCTCTGTATCTTGGCTATTGTATTTTTGTGCTAAAGAGATATACAGGTTTTAAAGCAGAGCTACATTTGACCTCATTCCATCTGTCCTACCTAAAACTGGCACTATCATGGTAGCAGTTGCTCTAAAGGAAAAAAGATGCCCATCACGTATGTTTATCTTAACTATCTAAAGACTTGAAATGAAAAGCAATGATAATAAAAGCTAAACAAAACATAGGTAACAGACAAACATCTAAACTTTTTTTTACAAGGTATTTCTTTTTCAAGTAACATTTTCTTAAACAACTATGAATTACCATCCTTTCCAACACATGAAAAGACATTAAGATTTAATAGAACATCTATTTTCTTAAAAAGAATTTTAACCCATAATTTGTGTTTAAAACACATGTTCTGACATAAGTTAATTTTCTTAAAATAACCCAAATTAAAATACTTCTGCAAAAAGGCTTCAATTTCATATATAATGGGATTTTTTTGGAGGGAAAAAGTATCCATGATATAGATTAAAAACATCACTAATGGCTGACTCACTAAACCTGAACTGTAGACTACAACTTCTGCTCTGGACAGCATTGAGGATTTGTCAAGAAAAGGCTAAGATCTCTGAGCACTCAAGCTGCCAAGTGCTCTCAAATTAAATCAGGTTGAAGCGGTTTTCATTAAGATGGATTGAGTGTGGCATCGTGAGAAACACTCTATCAAATGTAGTGTTTTACTTAGTGATTAAGTATATACCAGTTGATGAAGCTACCCAAATCCTTCGTAATCCCACCACTCCAATAAACATTTAATGAGTATATAAGTTCAAAAAGCCTAGCAGAGGATTTAAACCTTCAATCTTGTTTTTATTTACTCTTGGAACTCAATTTCTCACTTCAAGTGAAGAATGCTGGTGCCTGAAGCTCATCTGTTCCCCTGGTAAAATTAAGTGCCCTCCATAGTATAAATTAGAAGACAAGACATACAGGTTGCAGTTTCTCCTAAGCTTTTTTTCTTATACTGATATGCATTTTGAATTATTTTATGAAATGCAATTATAAAAATATAAAATAATGCATCCCTTTCCTTAATTATGAATTCCAGGAGGCAGTACTGAAAAAACTTGTTTGTAACAGGAAAAAAGCAGTAAAAATAAATGGTATTTATACATTCTCATACCTTCGTTTAAAGTCAGACTGTTACAATAAAATAATGTCATTCCACAGGGTAGTTGGGAGGGAGAGCTTTCAAAAATTAAGGCAATATTTAGAAAAAAAAAAAAAAAAAAAAAAAAAAAGAAAAAAGCCACAAAAATAATACTTTCCTAAATATGTAACTTTATCCTGATGAGGATCTGATCTGAATACACTACAAAATATTAGAAACGTAAGGTGACATGAATTTCAGATGTGCTATCTAAGTAGTATAAGAAGTACTTTGAGTATTAAAAAACTAAGTAACTGCACTACATTAATATAAGATTTATAGGTATAAAAAAAAAAATTTATGAAAGCTCCTAATGGGCTCTTGTCCATTATTATACTGATACACTGTCAACCATTTCTGATGAAATGACACAAAGCAAACTTCTTAACTCAAACACTTGTTGAATTAATATGATTTCTTTTAAACATGCATTCAGGTCCACTTTAATGAGTTATTATAAATTAATACTTTGCCACTGAATTATTATGTATCCATTTATGCTCTGAAATCTGCGCAAAGACATGAAAATATTGACTAAACTTAGAGTGTGCGCACAACATGTTAAGTATGTGTTAACTTAAGCTATACACTGTAGCTTCGTAATACTGCACACTCATCAGAACAGCCCCTAACATAACATAGCTGTTCCTTCCAATATGAATAACTACAGGAAGCCAAAACATTCTTCATTTTAAAGTTAAATATCTATCAAGACAACAAAAAGTAAATTTAAACAGCATGATTTTCTTGTTTGTGTTTCAGCTTTATCTATGCTTAATTATGCAGGGGTTTGGGTTTCTCCTCAGTGAATCAAGTCACCAAAACTTAAATAAACTATCCCCATTCTAATTTTATTAAAATACTGATTTTAAAACTGTGCGTGGAATAACAGAAACTTGAGATGTCTGGTTGGATGTACAGAAAAACTAAATAACCAAACCTTAGTAGTGGAATTTACTTGGCAGATAAAGGCTGTACAAAAAAAAAGTGCACTGTATTTCAGAGACCTTTCAATTTAAATTTACAATTTCATTAGCCATCCTTCAAAGGAGTTACCAACATGCAACGTTGAACTTGTAAACCACAAGACTCGCAGCCAGTGTTATCTGGTACTAGGACACCATTATTTCAGGAAGAAAAGAGCAGGGGGGGGGCGGGGGGGGGAAGTAGCTCTTATGACTAAAGGACTCCAATAAAAATACAGCCTGAATGATTAGGAAGCATGAGTTACTCACTGTAATTTCAACAACAACCAAGGTAAGTATTTTAGTCAGTCAACTAAATGAGTATAACTCTTCAAAAACAATAAAACCAAGATAACTCCAAAATGTAGTTCACCTTTTTTAAAATAAAGATGAAACATGTACAGTTATTTCCATTTTTCACCCTATATTAAATAAAGTAGTTTTAATACACACTTACATCTCTAGCTTTCCCATAGAAGGCTTCTTGAAAAGCAGCCTCTAATGATCCAATAAAATAAACAGGATGGCAGTCACCGTATCTATTTGAGATAAAATTTCCAATTAATAAAAAAATTACGAAAATAAGTAATGTCAATATTGTACCTCTTCAACTATTCTGTAAATACAATGGATTGGCTAAATCTTTAGAAAGACAAAGTACTACACTTTTAAAGGACACAAGGGAAATATTTAGAAGCCATCGGTCTCCCAACATTCAAAAGTTCAAAGTAACTAACTACTACCTTACAAATTTTATCATAAAAACTTTCTGTTTACATACGTAGACACCTTAAGTTCTATATAATCTTTCAGTCATAACTTATTTCCTCTCTTTAGTGGATTCTTAAAGGTTAATTGAAGGCTATTCTTTTATCACACGTTAATGCATCTCATATATAAAGGAACATTTCATCACAGAAGAGTGGCAACTGAAGGCATATAAACTTTGCATTACTTTGCAGTATATTAGTTTTCAGCTTCTACCTGTTTGATGAAACATGGCAAGTGTTTAACAATGTATGATTTGGTGGTGTAAAGTTAACAAAAAGCAGCATTTCTATATTTTTTAAAAGTAGAAATTTATCCAACCACTTAATTATTGTGAAAACTCTTATTGCAACTCTGTATATATTTTTCAATATTAATCAGTTTCAGCTTTTCTGTTCCTGTATATCATATTAAAATTACTATACATAGTCAGAGTCTTTATCATCCTTCTGGACCCTTACATAATTAAGTAATAATATTAATTAGTGGCAAATTAAATAAGGCAAGAATCTGTCACTCGTAACTTGGACTTTTATTTCAGAAACAGTTCTAACAAAGTTAAGCTTAAAATAAATTAGATTAGGATGCCTAAATATGCTATGATCCCACAAGAAAATATGTACATTTGGTTTATTTTTATTTTCATTATTCACTAAATTTTACTTAGTTTGTAACAAGTATTACACAGTTATTAGGCTAAGCTTACCTTGAAGAAAACTCTGCTGTAAATTGTAATAAGGCATCTCCTTCATTTTCAGCATTTTCTGGCACTTAAAAAAATGAAAAATATAAATTAAATGCAACCTTATGGAAACAGATTTTAATATGCAAACTCACTTGCTTCATAGATTTTTTTATGTTGACAGCTTACTGAAGTGGTTACCAAGAGACCATATAAATTTCATGAAAGACTATTGACTATGAACCTTTGGAAAGACATGAAATTTCCAGACGCTCTCATGAATATATTCAAGCTTTCCAAACAGTAAAATCCTCAGGTCCAGTGTAATGTGATATATCACTTGTTCAGAGTTAACACTCTGGGCTTACTTTAATACATTAAAATGAAAAGACTGGCTTGAAAGGCTTGACCCACTATATTGCTAGTTACTTTTCTTTTCTTTTTCTTTAAAAAAAAAAAAAACTTCCTATACATAATGTTAAAAAGTTTTCCATATTATTACATATATTTGCTGTCAAAAAACTTCTAAGGAATGACACTAATGCAAGCCTAAAGTAAATAGAGTCTACAGAATTGCATATAGGAGGTTACTGACTGATCCTGCTCAATCCTTTTCATAATTCAAGGGCAAATAATCACTGAGAAACTTGTCTAATGTAAATGACTAAAAATATTAATCACAAGACGCTGAAGCTAAAATCTGTAGAATTTTCAAAACAGGAAAGCAGAAATCTACAGGAACATTTGATTAAAGATCGTAATTTCTCTGCATTTAATTATTATCCTTCAACTATAAGCTGAAAACATAAAGTTAAAAAACTTCCTCCATGGGGAGACGCTTCCATAGTTTCAATTATGTTTGCAGTATTTTCATTTGACACATCCATCAGACATGACACTCAAACAATTCTAACATTCCTATCAAAAGATACTTTTCTGTTTCTTATTATGCAGACCCATCATACCTCTCTGCCTTCACTACTGCTGTACAGTCACCAGTTAATTGTAAATTAACTGTCAAATCTTACTCATTGGTGACTTCCTCAAGGCAGATGATGCTACTCCAAACATTTCTCCATCATCAACTCCAAACTCTGTAGCATCTTCAAAGTCATCTCCATCACTGTCACTAACCATATGAACATCAGTGCATTGCTATATAAAAACAAAAACCGAAATCCACCATAAGCCTCTATTACAGACATCATCTTCCGTGAAATACGAAATACACACACATTGAAAAATACTCACACATTTCTATAAAACCACTTGATATACTGCATTTTATACAACGTTATCAGATTGCTTTTTATAAATAAGATCTAATTTTTACCAGAAGTCTGGCTGGCAGAGCAATATTATGTGACAAAATGCATTATTAAATAACTAAGGAACTGGCTCTGTATATACATAGTTGAGCAAATTTTATCCAAAGTTAATGCTATTTTCCATCTAATGGTACTACAGCTGGTTTAACTGCATAAGAAAGAGTGAGAAAAGCCACACAATCTATCAATAATTTTAGACATTCAGATAGAATCTACTTTAGCAATACTTGCATGGTGGGGGACAGTCCTTAGAAAGGCACCCATCTATTGCACTGCAATCTCTGACATACAAATTTAGCACCCATAGTCCTAACTTGGCACACCAGACTACTGCATGTTGAATGACAGGCTGATTTATTTGGCATACCAATATAGAAGAGAAAAATCAACATTTTTGTGCAAGGAGCTAAGGTCCCATCTGTGCCTCCAACTCCCACCGTCAGATCTTTTGGATTTCATGTCCTCTGAAACATAAAACAGCTCAGAAAACCTTGTTTATAACTATTCGATGTTAACTTGCCTCTAAACTGACTTCTTTTCATGAACAACTATTCCAGCTCCACTTGACCTAGGAGTTACGGTGATAGTACACTACAGAAAATTTACAGGAATCTCTGAAGGCGCAACAAAGCGTATTATGGAACATGAGATTTCAGGTCTAACATGCAAGTGACCATGAGAGGAGCAAAGAGCTCCAAACATGCTGGATCTCTCCCTACAACAGCTACACATGAAGAACTCCAAATAAAGAATGTTTTCTGAATGAACGAGTCCACAAGAAAATTCTACAAGGTGGACAAACTCAGATAATTTTGAAAGAATGAAGTAAAGAAGCAATGATACAGTTATGCTGGCAGATCCCAGGAGAAAACAATAACCATCTATTTAACCTGCTAAGTGGTTGTGGTATAGCTCATTGTCTCACCATCCTCTAACTTTTAACAACTATCCAACAGCATATATCCAGACTTGCAACCTGACTGTACCTCACAGCTATGTCTTGCCAACTCAACTGAGCTGAACAGATTGAAACACATCCTTTTTGTGCAGCAAGATAAACCTTATGCTCTAAAGTTCTCTAAATACAATGGTAAGAAAAGTGTGTGGAAAATGGGAAACTGCTTATATTAATTTCATTTTGAGGAAGGACAAAGGCATTGGAAATTTTAACCCAAACTATTAATAGTTAGAAACAACAAAATGAGAGTTTGTACAGTCTGCAAACATCTCTTTCTGCTAATCCTAAAAATATATGTTTCAGCCTTCTATTTAATTTGGAGTCATTTTCAACGCTTAGCAACTTGTGGCTTGCTTACTTTGTTTTTCTTCTTTTTCTTCAATGACTCATTTACCCAGTTCCTTACTTTGTCACAATTACACATTACAGGAATTGTAAACTGATTCTTTTAAGATGCAATTTTAATGACGTGTTTCACAATAGAAGGGACAGTGACCATGGCAAAATGAGCTTTCCCTGCTTCTTCCTAAAGTATTCTTGTTAAAGATTATGTTCTTACCTCCTCTGACTGTTCCCTCGTTTGTACGGGTGAAGATCTTCTTCCAACTGTAAGTCGATGGCAAGGAAAAGTCAGTCCCGATACAGCTAGAGTCATCTACAAACAAAGCAATGATTGTTTATTAAAGCCATAATCTCAATTGAGGATAGTTTTTTTTAAGGGTGCTTTGACATTCAAACTGAAGACTGCACTGCAGAAGACCAAATTAATTATACAAACATAAAGAAAGAAGCCTGGAAAACTAAAATGATTCCTTATGTAAAAATATTCCAAGAAACAACAATGGAGTTTTACAGGTATGTATGCACAGAGTATCAAAACAAACTAAATGGAATTGCAAACTCAAAACTGTCTTGAATTGTTATTATCTCCTAAATAGGTACTGAAGTTTAAACCATTATTTGTACATAACTTTTACATTGGTATATCTTGATGAAGTAAATGTAAGTTTTTCCTTCCTAATCAATAAGCAAATGTCAAAGTGAAGATGACAGGTATTGATACAACTAATCAAAAACAGTTAAGTCATCTTGAAAAAAAAAAATATCTTGAAAGGACAGTTTATAGCCAGACATAAAAGACACAATCACAGTGGCTACTTAAAAAACACATTTCATCTCCATCTTGGTCATTATTAATGTCAAAGGCACATGCCATGTTTCTCACATGAACAAGGACATACACAAACCCAGCAATGCCGGTGAAATTGCAGTCAGCAAAGACAGGATAGATGTTCATTAACCAGTGCCAACAGAAACAGCACTTTTGCCTGTTGCTGTATGCCTAAATCTCAACTTTTTAAAACTAACAAGACAGCAAATGGAAAAAAGCTAGCGTCATTTGAAAGACAAAATTATTAGATGCCTGCAAACACACAACAATAATATTTGAAGATCTGAGCCTACCTTGCATTGAAAAACGTACTAATCGATACAACTAAAAATGAGAATTGTCCACTCTTCTATGATCAGAACCGTCTGTGCCATCCTTCCATTTCAAGCACCCTTCACACACTTCTTTATACAACGTAAGCGTACACCCACCCTACTGCCCTCTTCTGGAAAGCACATCAGTCCTGGTCAAGTGAGGTTGATGACCACAAGTAGAATCTTCAGAAGCACCTAAGCCCTATCTTGATAACATGTGGGCTAAATTTACAATGTGAATAGCTCTTAAATAAAGATAGCCAATTCATTTGGGCAAAGACAAAATATTTGATTCTGTACAATTCTTAGTGACATTGAGAAAGATAGTTCTGGCTGTATGTTTAAAATACTGTTTCTAACGGTTCCTTCAGAAGAAACAGAGAGAGGGCAGAAAAAGATTTTCTAGATCCTATAAAAATGATTACTATTTTTGCAGGGCACAGAATGAGACACATTATGTGTTTCAGAAATACAGCATCCTCCTAATTAGACTGTAAAAACATTAAAGTAAAATAAATTTCAATCATCCTTAACAAAACCCCAAGAATAATCATAAGCCTTAAATTTCATTTACTGCCATAAGCACTGAAAATACCCCATTTATTTTTATACATAATTCAGAATGACTTTATCACTTGTCTGCTAGAACTCACAAAGATTTAATTTGCTGCAGGTTGAAGCAGGCTGATTAAGCAGGCTGGTTACCAAATGAATGTTAACCTGTCTGAACTAGCCTACTGTCACATTCTCATAGCAAGGTTAAACAGAAGTTTAGCTGCATAAAAAGCCTAGCTATCAGCTTAAAGGAAGTGAGTAATAATACTCTGGAGCAACTGACATATTAAAGATGACATACAGGTCAAGACCAATTACCTATGGAACTCCTGTGACAAGAGCGTAAGAACTGTATTCTCTGTAATAATCCACCAGTTTAATTAGTATTTTTGTAAGCTTTTAATAATAAACAAAACTCAACTGTTATAAAACCTGAAACTTTGCCCTGTAGTTACCACAGTATATAAAATACTGGTAAAACTTACACACACGCACACTCACCACAAACAGACTGAAGTTCCCTATCGAACAGCATCAAATACCCTGACAGATGCCTGGAAAGGCTCCCCGATATCTTTTACATACACATTAAAGAAAGAGAGGTAAGATCAAGCAAGCAGTTATTGTGCTGCTTTATCACTTGGCCCAATAGCAGGGTGTTGCAATTCCAATTTGCAACCCTATATTATAGTGTCAAAGTGTCTCTCAAAAATGAGCTAACAGCAGAAGGGGTTCAACATCAGAGCACATTTCAACCTACTCCCCAGACAGCTGCTGGAATGTTGGGTTTTTTGTGCACATTTGTGTGAGAAATCACCCTCCGCTTTGGCTTTTTTTGAGTTTTTTGCATAGGAAAGGATAGGACAAATAGAAGCTCTGCCTTTTGTTTCAAAATAATCTAGCAGCATGAACATTGCTCTAGAATTAAATTATCTTCATTCTGAGATAAAGGAGAGAGTCCTCTCGAGAGAGACACTCTTGCACCAGAAAGTTTAATCTTTATTTTGGAAACCATAAAAACATCAACACTAAGCAAAAGATTACTTTCCAGGCAGCTCAGTCTGGTGCCGTGGATAGCAAACCTCAACTTTTAAAAATATTTTGAATGCAGGCCAATTTACTGATGGGAGCACCCGCTTGAGTGTCTCAGTGGCAAGAACTGTTTAGATGTCAGGCTGCTCTTGGAGAGTTTTTTCTTTCTAAATACTGCATCTGCCTACTCCCAAACAGGGTTGCAGTACATTAGAGATATGAATCGCTGTGTTGCAGCTATCTTCCCATGGGAATGGACAGAATCTTTTTACCAACTCCAAAACTGAAAATGCTGGTTTGTAGCCTGAGTACCTGATTACCCATATTCTCAAATCATGAACCCATCCAATTGTGCAAAAACTCAGAAGCCACTAACTTTTCAGAATATTTTCTTTTTCTGCATGAATATCACCATTATACCAGTACTATAGCTCGAATCGGATGGCTTTCACATGCACAAGAAGACACATTGGAAGACGCATATGCAGGACTCTTGGCACTAATAATGAGCTAGATACAGATTATGAAATAAATAATACACTAAAGCAAAAATAAATAAGGTTAGTCCACTTTTCTAGGCAGTAAATGTACACATGTGCAAATCCCTACACAAAAGGTCTCACAGCTGAAAGGTACATGAGGTGGAAAGTGAAACAGAATCAGAAATAGGCAAAACAACTTGCAAAAAATAACTCAAGATGAGTATTGAAAAGCCAGATCTCTTGTCCAACACTGTGTATAGACTGCTCGTTGTTGTTGAAAGTTTAAGTCATCTCCTATTTGGCTTCCTATAGCTTTTTAAAGAGAGGGACAATAAAATTTGAAGCCTTGAAACATTCCAGGGAGAGTGGCAGCAGGAGAGTCCTTTTAGGAGACAGCAGAGATATTGAACGGATTGCTACTGGTATGCAAAAAGCTAATGGTATGACCTGGACTAAAAGTGCACAAAGGATACTTGAAATATATTTTAACTACTAAAAGAAAGACCGCTACCAAACATTACAATTTAGAGAGAGAAAAAATGAGTCTAATGCACACTTGTGCTTTCCAACACTAAGACACTGAATTTATTTGTAAACATTCAGTGTAAGATGATTTGTATTTCAATTGCCAGCATTAATAATTGGGCGATAAAGTTAAGCAACACCTTTTCTGATCCAAACATGCAGGATTCTTTGCCAAGAACTTTCCAGATCAACCTAGAAATATTTGCCAAATCCAGAGTGAGACCGGGTGCTTTAAACAATAGATTATTATTCCTGCTAGAAAGTATCATTTTTACGTAAAAGCTTCTAGAAATCTCCTTTAGAACAATCTAAAAAATCTATTTTTTTTCAAATATTTCATGATACAAATGTCTGCAGCAGGGAAAGAAATCATTGAGAGCACGTAACTCCAGAATGCTGCCGTTGCATGCTCAGAATAATAGGAAAAATTATGAGTCCATAACCTCACAAGCAATCTTCTAGAAAGAGTTTGTTGGCACAACTTAATTCCCACTCTTGCAGACTTCTGCAACTGCAAAAGAAGGAGCAAACTCAGTCTCTTGTACCAGTCCAGAGTTATTTAATCAAGACACTGAAGATCTGAGAAAGATAAACAGTAGTAGGAACATGAAGGAATGATACCAGCAGAGAACTGCAGCTACAGAACTCTCTCCACTGAGAAATGCTGATACAAAAATTATAAGATCGGTGTACTGCATCAAGAAAGTAGTAATTGGATATGACGAATTGGTCTTCCTCATATTCAGCCACATGCTGATGGAGAAAAACAGCACTTCAAAAGAGCTTCTAATAGCAACCATATCTAATGAGGAAAGTATGAAGGCAAGCTCTAAGAGCTTTCTAATACCTTATAGAATATAGTTGGACATCCAAAGTACCCAGCTGAAAGCAACAACCTGTAAAGAACCGGACCTTCTTCCTCATCCTCAACTATCACAGTCATTTTGGAAACACATATTCTTTGCTCCATGTAAGTACAGATACAAGTCTCTCTAGCAATCCAGTAATCTGAATAAAACACTAAGACAACTCTTCTTGCCACTAAGCTATCTGTATTTAAGTCAGAACACACTTTAGAAAATAAATTGCAGCAGGAAAACATGTAGGTGCTTGAAGCACATCATTTACAGACTTATCCATTAGGCCTGTTACTATCCTCTCAGCGCTTATCGTTGCAAAGTATGGCCTTTCCAGAGGGATGAGATGGAGAATGACCTGCCAAATTGCTGCCACAAGAGTCAACGATCTTTAGTAGAACTGCTTCCATATCAGCTAGCTCTGGAGCAAATCAAACTCCCTACCACGGGCATCAACAGCAGGAAACTTCCCCAGGAACTCCAGAGTTTCACAGGTGCAGTAGGCAAGACAAGCCTGCAAAACATGTCACCTTGCAGAAGAGGAGAAACACAGATATGTAATGGACCTGCTTTGGCATGACTTGAGAGGTTGTGCTGTTCACAGGATACTTGTCATCAAGGGGTCCCTTTTCTCTAAAAGGATGTAGCTCTTTTAACAAGAACCATTGAGAACAAGCAAGCATAAGTGATAATGTTTAAGGAAAGTAGGAATATTGATT